CGTCTCAGTCTCCTCAGCTGAACCTTCATGAACAGGCTCACCAACAAGCACATGCGGCTCATCTTCACAAACGAGCTCTTCATCGTCATCGAATTGACTGGCATAATGCGGAAGTTCACAGCTACCCATCCTTAGGCACAAAGGAGAACCTACGTGATATCTTGGAACTATAAGAAAAATGAAAGCAAAATCGACGCTTAAAACAAACAGAGGTTGACAACCAAGTGTAGAGGCCTCACAATCACTAAAATGTTCGAGCACGTGTGGCCACTATAAAGCACTCCTCTTGTGCAAAAGGCTAAGGTTCGAAAGAAAGGTATTATCGGAAGACGCTTTAGGTCGTGGAACGAACCCTGCAAACCCAACAAAAAAAATCATAAGTAAACAATGGAGAAGCTAACCTTGTCGAACCGGAACCAACTAAGAACTACAAGGATTCAAGTTCCACATGTTAACACACGACAATTTAGTATCTTCAACAGAGACATCACTCAGTTTCACGAAGAAGTAACGTTTCTTGAAGTCACTAACCCTACTAGTTGCACCGTAAAAAATCTTAAAACCTCATCTCGAACTCGCACAAACCATGCCTGGGATCCTAACTCCAATCGAAAAACTAGTTACCTCTTCGAAAAGATCAAAGTGCACAACTAAACGCTCCTGAGCCGCCAAAATCACAATGCCAACCGCGTTCGGGATGCTAGCTACCGATAGTTGCAAAAATGCAATATTTCGCCGACAGCAGTAGCTCGTGAGAAATTCTCAAAGTGGTAACCAAAGCCCGCACTCCGTGAAGTAGGACTCGAAAAGACATATATATCCTTTAGGACAATCCAAAGGACGTTGATGTGGTTCCATGCCTTCGGGCGCCTGACAGCACTTGAACACGGCCGTCAACGAATGCTTAGTAGAAAACGATCTCCCTAGCTCGTGAGAAAAGCAAGTCTCGCCTGGATTCTCATCGGGTGTCGCTTGATTTTTGGTTGCGCGACACCCACAAAATTGCAAAGTCGTTCTTGAAGCACTCAAACCCATAAAAAGATATCTTGATTCACTCCGCATATTCTCTCTAATGGCAACCTCAAAAACCTTTCCACGACCATGTCTCGGTCGACTGGGACTCGGCCTAACTTCTGCATTCTCAGGAACGAACAAACCGTTGAGATCTCGAAAGTCTTCCTTTATCAAAACTGGCAAATCATCAAGTTGGCGGTAGTAGTCGGTCCCCAACTCAACTGGAACGTCTCCATCAACATGATCTCCTGAGGCAATAGACATCGAACGAAACCTAGCAAAACCAACAAGGAAACAAATGACAAACTAGTAAGCACGCAAAGAACTAACCGGCTATGGTTTAGGCCCACCTCACAACAATGTCACTCTGCTACATCGTCGAATCCAAGTAAGAAAATTGCGACACTCAAGGCGCGACACTAAACTCACAAATTTGCCTTTCCAAAACAAACTGCTCTGCAATATATCGCAATAGCAATTGAACGCATTGACAACGTCACCTCAAACCCGTGGCAAACCTACTTCCGTCGCGGCAGCTCACGAGTTGGCATGGTGCAAGGTGATGCAATACGGTGCGGCAATGCGCGACAAACCTTGGGCGCGACACGAAAGCTTTCAACTCATTGGGAGTACGTAATTCAAAAATTGAAAGCTCAAAGAGCGGCTCGACGCGAGTCACACACGTCTCGCCTCGGCAAGAGCCGCAGCGACAAGACCTGCGGCGCGGCAAAGCTTACTCCTCCATTCCCGCCACTCCACAAGTCAAATTGACGAGCATCAACACACGGCTCGTACCTGACTGACAATTTCGTGGATGGGTACAAACTCACGACGCAATCAAACAATAAGAGAGAGAGAAGAAATAAAGTAGAGAGAGAGCAAAAATTACTTTACGAAATGTGGAGAAGAAGAGTGAAAAGTGAGAAATGAAAAAAGGGAGACATATTACCGAGGCACACCTTTTTTGTTAATTATCTAAGCGTATTCTAACAGTTATTTTCCAGTAAAGCTCCTGCAAGTCTCGAAAAGCGTGTCAAACTTATTATTCACCCGCAATGGGTCTGGTTTATCTTGAAAAACATGTCGAAGCTACGCTTCCCACATATATGTTTCAATTCACCTCGTAAAACATGCCGAAGTCACTATTCACTCGCAATGGGTCCGGTTTATCTCAAAAAATGGATCAAAGCCACGCTTCACACAGATTTGTTTCGGTTCATCTCGTAAAACGTGCCAAAGTTATTGTTCACCCACAACGGGTCTGGTTTGTCTTGAAAAACGTGTCGAAGCCACGTTTCACAGAGATATGTTTTGGTTCGCCTTGTAAAACGTGCCAAAGATACTGTTCACCCGCAACGGGTCCAGGTTGTCTCGCAAAACGTGTTGAAGCTACGCTTCATATAGATAAAACATGTCGAAGTTACTATTCACTCGCAATAGGCATTGCTTGCCTCGTAAAATGTGCCGAAAGCACTTAAACCATTCTCTGTCTTGTGCCTAACTAACATATCCAAATTTTAAAGATAGGCCTGTCAAGCTCAAGAGAACTCTCGCACAACGGACTAAGGGGGGGGGGGTGCTTATTGTTGGACATGGACCATGCCCCTTTTATCTTAGAAGGCCCGAAACATATTTCAACAAGGAAGAGGCCTTTTTACCTTCACAGGGTACGTAGGTAGTCCATCATGGATGCAACTATACCTTCTAAAAATCCTAATTCTTTCTATGTTTTTGAGCAAAACCCAAATGTATTTCATAAGACGTTAAAACCTCCTTTGTAATCGAGTCTTGGATAGAATACCTAGTGAAGAGAAATTACTAGATTTGTTTTCCCCTTTTAAACAAATCTATCGTGTGAATCCTTGGTTCAACAATTGGCGTCGTCTGTGGGGAATACAAAAAACTCTCTACGCGTATCATTCATCTAAGTATTCGATGTACGCTCAAGAAGCCAAAACAAATAGATCCGTCTACTTTTGGGGCGACCTCCCGTCAAAGTCCAATGAACCAGGTGACGAGTAACATACTCACGGATTGCCTCATAGATCAGCTTTCCATGTATTCTATCCATAGTTCAATCCGACATCTCTGCTCAAAGTTATCGACATTTTTCTGAAGTCGATGCTGTCTGTTTCTTTACAGATCCGTCTGAATAGACCAGTCTGACTTGGAACCGATTTCCCGACAAGTCACAGTGAATCTCGCAACGAGTAATATGTTCCACAGAATTGGACCACGCCTAGTTCAGATACCTCTTCTGAGAGTTATCTCCGTTTTTCTATGTCAGAGGTAATCTGTTAGAGTACAATCCGTCTGAAATAGTCCAGCTAGCCTCGGGGCTGATTTCCCGACAGATCACACAGAATCTCGTGAAGAGTAATATATCAACGGATTGCCCACAGAGTCATCGTTTCACAGAAGTCAACCTCCCCTTAATCTAGGGTATATACTGAGAGATATAAACGTTTATCTCAAGCAAGTCCTGTCTGTCATAAGACCCAACTCTATAAAACCAGTCAGCTTCGAGATGTTTTCCTGGAAACTCCTAATGAACTATGCTACGATATACATATCTCCAAATCGCCCCGAGAGTCAGATTTCCAAAGAAGCCGACCTTGCCTCGAGACGAGCTGTAATGGGAGTTATCATTGCTTCTCTTCACCGGATGCAATCTTGATGTCAAACCCGCCTCTGTCAAAACAACCAACTTCAAAACAAAATTCCTGGCAATATAGAAAGCATAACGAAGCGTTTTACATATCAACAGAAAGACACGAGGCTCATCCTTCCAACACGACCAACCTCACCCAAATCGGAGCTGTGTAATAAGCGTTATCAATATTTCCATGTAACATATGACATTTGTCAAATCCCAGACACGAACTGCGAGAACAACTGGATTAGAAGGTAGATTTCCAACGATTCAAAACACATCAAGAGCCCATCATCTACATACCTTTCTGAATCTCTAAGGCTTATCTTTCCAACAAGATCAACTTCGTTTCATTCTATTATGTTTTCCGAAAGTTATAGGCGTTTCTCTCAAACATGCGTAATTCATATGACCCCAAATCCATCTCCATCCGACCTGCCAGGTTTCAAATTGATTTTTGGACGATCTAAACGGAACCAGGATCCAATCTCCGCATCATTATGAAGCCCCAAAGCTTATCTTTCTTACAAGTCCGATCTCACCTCAATTTATGCCGTCTACCATGAGTTCTTACTGTTTTTCTGCGACACGCACATCCTGGCCGTAACCCTAAGGCGCATGTCTGCTGTTATCGGATCAGCCAGCTTCGTGACCAATTTTCCGGCGAACTACTAGGAACTACAAAACTTAAAATATATCGATCTGAAGCCCCGTGGCTTATCTTTTTAAATTGATTAACTTCGTCTTTTATACAGCACTCATCACAGGACTATCACCACAACTCTGCTTCGACCTACCTAAACAAAACCTTATAAGTATTTATTGCGTCCCTCAAAAAGTATGTAGTCGCAATCTAATACAAAGGTGCCATCATTACCACTATCAACCTAAGAGTTCACAAGACTTAAGATCAAGAACCTATGCATCTTGCTTCCTGTCCAAGAAACAAGTGAAACAGTTCTCAATCCATGCCAAGTCTGAAACAAGATTCAGTGTGCAACTAGAGCTTTTGCGACATATTTTTCTGACGCATCAAAAAGAGTTAAGGTTTGACTAAGTACTCTGTGCGAAGATATATTTACAATGAATCCTATTCTTTAAACGGATTATCAATTGGTGTTAGTCTCCATCCAAAAATTGTCTTCAAAGTTGGCCCCGAGTGATTCAAATTGCAGAAATCAGCAAACAATAACTCTGTTGCAGCAACTTTAGAAGCTTATGGAAGATACATACGACGTCCGATCTAGCTAGAACTTTACAGAGTGCTTCTTGACGCTAATAGCTAAAGATTCACCAATGGGATCGAAAAATCAACGGTCCAGACTAAAGTTACCAACGCATCTCTGAATCAGCAAAACAAAGGAAAAATCACTTTGTCACGGCAACTTCATCAGATCGTGGAAGCTTCATGCAATATCCGATTTGACTGAAATATGGAGGAGACTTTCATGGAACTACCATCTAAAGACTGAACGGTGGGATCAAAAGCCTAACGATTTAAACAAAAGTTATCAGCTATTCTCCAAATCAGCAAAAAGCAGTACACCAACAAGCGACTATGGAATATTACTTATAATCGTTCATGGACCCCTCTCTCTAGCGCCTCCGATCATAAAAGATAAGTTCTATTACATTCTTACATATTAATTAAGCTTGATTGACATACTCGCTTATATCGAAAGCTTTTATCTTTGCGTCTCTCTTTCTAACGCAAAGATGAGACCTCCTCTAACTACCAACATCTCAAATGTAGGATTCCATACAACAACGTTTACAATCTCAGAGATTCAGATCGTCCATGTCGTAGATGTCATCATCTCTATCTCCAAACCACTAAGATAAATGTTATTGATTATAATCTAACAAGCACAGCTCAATCATATATATGCATTCTCTGTTCAAATTTTTTCATAAACTTGCAAAAACACTTGTCTATCGAGCAAAAAGACTCGTCTACCGAGCAAAAAGTCTCCTCTACCGAGGAAAAAAAAACTCTTCTATCGAGTAAAAAAAGAACTTCAGCCTCTTCATCATAACTTGAACTACGAGTTGGCTTGATCCCTAAAAAGGGTACGTCGGCAGCTTGTCTCCGGACGAGTTCAGCTAGCCCCCACAAAAATTTGACCTTCATTTTTCTACTTCAAATTTTCTTGAAATTCAATTTCTAAATCTTTTTACTTTGGAATATTTTAACGGGCGACGGCCTATTATTTTCAAAGTTTCATTTACACCGTTTTGGTTATAGCGCTATATAAATATTCAAGATAAGAATCTGCTCGGATATTTTTCCCGAGCAGGCTATGAATTTTATCTTCTGAAACCCGGTTATACTTAACACCGGTGTCCCAGCTCGTTTCTAAACGCTAGTAAAAGACTGAATCAGATCGGGTCGCAACCGTGGGTATGCAAGTCTACAAAAATCCAGATACTCTAAACACACTGGTACCAAGCTAACCACCTCGGGCATGAACGACAAAGCTTCACCCGAAAACGCTCCAATACATTCTCCCTTACAAAACCCAGTCCTAAATAGTATCAGGCCGATTACCTCGGAAGCCAAAACCTAGTTCTAACTTTACACTGGTACCGAGTCAACCACCTTGGAAACTAAAACTCAGTTATCATAAACATTGGTGCTAAGCGTTTGCCTCAGCTGTATAAGTCCTTCCGACTTAGTCTACTAAAACCCAGTTGTCATAAACACTGGTGTCGAGCGTTCACTTTGGCTAAATACAGTTTCTTATCTGCTTTGGCCTCAATGGTTAGAAATCCAGTTATCCTGAATAACCTGGTACCGAGTCGATCAGCTCGGAACAAAATATACTAAACCCAACTTTGACTTTGGCAATTTATACCCGAGCCAACCACCTCAGGTATGCGAGAAGCTTAATCGAACTTCCATTATATTTGTCTAACTTATACCGGAGCCAAACAACTCAGGTATGAAAGACAAATTTTCTTATCGAAATCATTCCAATATATTCATTCAAAATGTGGATAAAGCCATCCAAGCATGTCTTTACATAAAAAAAAAAAAACAACGACATTGTTTGGGAACAAGAAAAACAAGCCTTACTCTCAAAAGATACGGATCAGTCAGTTTAGATGCAGAAGCAGCTGGCTCGGTCACACCATTCATGAAGCTTGTCGCATTAACTCTTAAACCAACGAGCTGGGGGGCTAATTGTTGAGGTCGGATTCTCCCACAAGCAAGACCGAGCCAAACAGTCTAAGAATAACAATAACCTCATGGCTAAACATATAATTTGCCCCTAGCCTAGAACAAAGTACCTCGAGACCTTATTCAATCAACCGTCTCGAAGAGAGTTTGTAAAATGGGTCGAGTGTTAATCCTATGAACACAGCCCGAGCCAATCGTGAGAACGCTGAGGAAAACATCTATATCGCCTCGGGAGACAGCCAATTGAGCTTAATGGACAGTCATCAAGCGCGCCCCGAGCCGCTACATACCGTTTGCCCCGACGCCATCTCTCAAACGACCACCCAGCCGTGAAGAACACCTGAGGCAAAGACTTGTAAAAACCATTCATTCTCAAAGGATCATTTCCGGTAAAATAGGATCTTTTATGGGACTTTCGGAAATGATACAGGAGAATCTTTGAAGATAATGTCGAATTAGGAAATATTTCCAAAGCATCCGAAGAATAAGGAAAATATCCTTAGGACGATTATCCTCTAGAACAGACTTAACGATAAATGGAAATATTCCGAGAATATCGCTAGAGAGGCGGTTTAAGGACCCTATATAAAGCGCCTCAAGAACTTCTCAAAGGATACAATTTGATACTCACAAAAGACACATAACTTTATACCCCTGGTGAGAACTACGAATGGCTTGATCCCTTCACAGGGTACGTAGGAAGTCCATCATGGATGCAGCTATACCTTCTAAAAACCCTAATTCTTTCTTTGTTTTGGAGCAAAACCCTAATGTATTTCATAAGACATTATAACCTCCTTTGTAATCGAGTCTTGGATAGAATACCTAGTGAAGAAAAATTACTAGATTTGTTTTCCCCTTTTAAACAAATCTATTGTGTGAATCCTTGGTTCAACAGCGTCCCTTGACTTATCATGTATACGTTGAACTCGAATCACAAGGCTTACGTATGAAGTATGCGAGACTGACTCGTCGTACTTTGTAGGTGCGGTGTTGGTGTCCAGTTTACCCTGTGGACGCGTCCAGGTCAGCTAGAACGTGCGAGCGGACTTGGCTTACTATTTTTTGGCCGCCTATCAGCTTATTCGGTGCGAATCTGGGTCGGCTTTAATCATTAAGTGTAAGTTTTAGCTTACTTAGGTAAAGATGTGGATTATTTTGTCGGAAACAGGTTTTTTAGACCTGTCCGACAAGCACCACTGCATCCATGTGGGAACGCGTTTTAGAATCAAACTCCTGGCCAAGGAGACGATGTGGGAATGACAAGTGTTACTTGTAAAGGTTAGACTTAGAGTAGTAACATGTGTGTGTGTTAGAATATCGTTCATATGAAGTTGCATATGTGTCAGGTAGAAGGGATTAAATCAATCGTTGTCTATATAGCAAATGAGCTCAGTAGGCGAGCGTTTTTTTTTTTTAAAGCGTCTGATGTGCGCATTTGTAGGGCTGAGAGTATCCGCCATCGCGAAAGTCGGGTTCAAGAAACCAACACAAGGCTTGTCCGTTAAGTGTGGAGCTCGGTGTGGGAGATGCTCGACGAGTTGCAAGATTCATTTGAGAGGCGAGCTTGAGGAGCGCGAAGTGGAGCTCGGCGAGACTGATGGGTTGCCTCGCGAGCTTGGCGAATCTTTGGAGCTAGTCATGAGATGTGAAGAGTTTGGTGAAGCTCAAATGCATGGTGACGAGCTCGTCGAAGATGATGTGCGGTCTAGAAAGGTTGAGAGATTCGTCCCACCTCTAGTTATCACGGATCTGATCGTCGAGAGCTCGACAAAGCACAAACCAGGTTAGAGAAGAAGTAGCTGAATTTGGTAAGGGAAAGAATCTTGATACTATACTTAATGCGGAGCTCGATGGATTGGATCCGATCGAGATATTTTCTTAGGAAATTTGGCTAACTCCTTCACTATTTCTTTTGAGAGATTTGGCTAAGCGGTTTTGCCGATCGTTGTTGCTCTAACGAGTTTGTTACTTCATAGTTTTATTTTTTTAACTCCTTCCCTCTTTGTTTTGAGAGATTTGGTCATGCAATTTTTGTCGACCGTCGCTGCTCCAACAAGTTTCTTTACTTCACAGTTTGTGTTTAGCGCCTGGTCGACTAGACTTCTTCTTTGGTCGGTGAGACCATTTGACTGGTTCTACGCTATTACTTCACATGGTCGGAGCGACTTCAAGTCATCGGGTCGACGCGTTCAATGAATCGAAAGACGGATGAGATATTTTCACCAGGTAGGCGGGACTTCTTTTCTAGTCGGCTAGACCTCCTTCACCTAGTCGGTGTGGCTTCCTTCACCACTTGAAATGTTTCCTTCTTTCACATATTCACACAAAAACCAAATAGTTGAAGTTATGATCCACGAACCAATTGCTAATTGAAACAATTTCTGTAGTATAATTTATAACCATGATAGGTTTTCCTTACCTAACAATCCGTTGACGAAACCAACCACGTAGAACAATCACGACCACAACGTGACGTCAACTCCGGTATCACAACGATGATGATGGCTGGGATTGAGATGAGAGATAGGGAAGTGATGGTGATGAAGAAGACGTGAGAAAAAGCTGCGTGGAAAGGGAGATATATACATATGTACATACACACGCTTAGGTTTTGTGTGTTATTTGGGTTGGTTGGGCCCCTCTTGGGCTTGGACAAAGAGATGGACGAGCCGTGGAGTCAAGGGACAAGCTTATAGTTAACTAGAAGGAATTGTCTTATTGACAAGCTGACAGTGGACGAAAAAGAGCAATCAGATTGACGAGCTGACAGTTGACGAGAAAAAACAGTCAGATTGACGAGCTGACAGTTTAGGAGAAGGAACTGTTGGATTGACGAGCTGACAGTCGACGACCAGGAACTGTTAGATTGACGAGCTGTCAGTTGACGAGAAGGAACCGTTGGATTGACGAGCTGATAGTTGACGAGAAGGGACTGTTGGATTGACGATTTAACAGTCGACAAGAAGGAACCGTCGGATTGATAAGCAAGAATTCTCGGGTTGATGACCTGACGATTGACGAGCAGGAATTATCGAATTGACGAGCAGGAACTATCAAATTGACGAGCTGACAGTTGACGAGAAGGAACTGTCAAATAGACGAGCTGACAGTTGTCAAGAAGAATAGTTGGTATTGACGAGAATACAGTCAATGAGCAGGAACTGTCGGATTGATGAGCTGACATTTGACGAGTAGAAACTGTCAGATTGACTAGCTGACTGTTG